AGATCTGTTAGCTCCTATTCTTAGAGAATCAGTTTGAGAATGAAATCCGGTATTCTATATGTATTACAATTAACAGATGGCTTTTTATTAGGCTGAGAACAGAAAAGAAACACTCTACTGCTGCTGAGAAAAAAAAGGGGAAGCCAAGGTCTAGCTGGTGTTAGATCTCAGTTACTCCAAACCCAAGAAATGGAAGAATTCAGTATGAGGAACCTCAGAAGCCAGCTGCTTTCACAGCACCAGGAAACCTCTTGCCCAGATTTCAACAGAGTTCAGGGAACACAGATTGAATCCTCCCAGGGATCCCAGCAAACATCTCAGTCACTAGCAGAACTCATCAGGGCTTTTTTTAGACCACCTCACAGGAGCAGAGAAGCAACAGTTCTGCTTTAACAGTGGACTTTCAGCCTGGGTTTATGACAAATATTTTCTAGGAAGTCATTTCCTTTTTACAGATAGGAAAAGGACAAGAGTCAGTAACTGCCTGCCTGCTCTGTGGTAGATTCCCATATGTGACCCAGATGACAGCATATATTTTTTCTCTAAATGGGAAGCATGGGAAATTTTCAAAGAAATTTTTGGACAACTTCCCAGAAGACAGATCAACTGAGGATGTCAGGCATCCGCTGCAGGAATTAGTGTTTTTCCTAGGAGAAGGTCTGGAAGGTCACCTTCACAGCACTTGATAAGGAAGGTGCATAGTATAGTTCAGGTAGAGTGAGCAGTCAGCACAGTGGGTAGTGATTAATTCTGTGTTAATTGATCCCCAATCATGGTCCCATTGTGAAATAGTCACAACTGGTTACTCTGTGTTCTTGCAGTCTGTGTTCTTGTTCAGCTAGTCTTGAACAATTGCAGTTTGAATTTCTAGATCAAGCTACCTTAATCTGAACACATTGGCAGTATCCAACTCATCCCATCTTCGAATTCTCACCATTGAGCTAATTCTCCAAAGTTATTGTCATACTTTGTCCCAGGCCCAAATAAAACTTATTCAAGTCTCCACAACATGTCAGAAAAACATGATGAACTGTTTAACCAAAAACAAATAACTAAAAATTCCTCATCAACAATAACATGCTCAATCATATACAGCTGAACCAGGGGTATTCTGGCCAACTTCCTGAGAATGCAAAATTATGGGTGGACTTGATTCATAGACTTCGGTTTTTTTTTTTTCTGATCTGACACTTCATTAGAACAAACTTGAACCATGATGCTGAGGCAAAATTTAAACATACCATGGCTGGGCATGGTGGCTAACACCTATAATCCCAGCACTTTGGGAGGCTGAGGCAGGTGGATTGCTTGGGCTTAGGAGTTTGAGACCATCCTGGCTAACATGGTGAAACCCTGACTCTACCAAAAATGCAAAAATCAACCAAGTGTGGTGGCAAGCATCTATAATCCCAGCTACTCGGGAGGTTGAGGTGAGAGCATCACTGGAGCTCAGGAAGTTGAGGCTACAGTGAGCCATGATTACATCACTGCACACTAGCCTGGATGACAGACAGAGCAAGACCCTGTTTCAAAAAAAAGAAGTTAAAAAAAAATAAAGTGTATATCATTAAAGAAACATTTTAATTTAGAACCCTGAAGGTGAACTTCCTCAGACCTCTGTTCAGTGTGATTCTCCCTCAGTCCTGCATAAACCTCAGCTCCACTGTAGGAGGCTGTGTTCTCTCTGGTTATGCCTTCTCCACCAGAGTACAGTATCTTTAAGAAGCGAAATTACTATATTTATCTTGGCATTCTCTTTCACCTCTGTCAGGTATTCAGTGCTTTTTTTAAATGTGTTGTAGGCATTCAGTGTTTAATTAATAAACATAAATTCCATGTTTAATAAATCAGTTTCTTTAAATAGAGGATTTTCATTATCATAAAGTATTTTTCAAATACTGAATTGGAAAAGAACTTTAGTGCTGGATAATACTGTCTTCCATTAACCCTAAAAATTTTCTCAAGACTCAGAGAAAACCAAACTCTTAACCAAGGTGGCCACATGGAGCATAGCTTAATGTTGATGTCAATGAGAGATCTTTAAATTTTGGTTACTTTTCAGGGGATCAGCCCAGAAGACAACTACCAAACCCAAGAGTTAGGTGTTTATTTCATGTAGGTCATGGAATTCAACCACCAGCTGACCAAACTGTAGTGATTGTTTCATTTTCTATTATTTGCGACTTTGCTCATGTCACTGGATAGAGGAACTGGCCACACTTGCTGTTCATTCTCATCCCCTTTATCACCTGAGTATAAAGACCCTAACCTGAGGTATTCTTGAATTGTTGTAGAAACATAATATTTTCACACTGGCTTCTTCACCAGATTCTCAGCTTGTCAAAAAGAGCCAGGAGGGTGGATTGGTTATTTTAAGATACAGTTTGGGACAGATAAGGCAAAGGTAAAAGATATATTCCTTATAAATCCTGCTCCTGTTTCAAAAGTTTAAGTTTCCTTTTCTTCACAACACATTTTCTGACTAATTCCACCCATGTTGTTCAATTTTCACGTCCTTTGAGCAGCTGATACCCTTGATGGTTTTCTGTGTTCATCTAAGTTATAGGCTACTGGGGTCAGGCACCGAGTTTTATACTTCTTTGCTATCACCTATGATGTCTAGCACACTGCTGGGCACACAATAAGTATTGTGGGGGAAAAAAAACAAAACAAAATCTGTGGATCCCAAAATCACTATGCCAAAGGGAAAGTTAAGCTTAAGAACTGAATCACTCAAAAAAATGTCTTCTTTTGTTACAAGGTAGCTGCAACAATAGAAGGCCCCAGATAGCCTCCCTCACAAATTGCTTACAGTGAAATTCCTTGTGGATCCCCAAATCTTTCACAGAATGCATATCCCTCCTATAAATGAGCCCTAAAACAGAGTTCTGTTGAATCTCACTCTGACAATAAGTTAACAACTCATCTTCACAGGTATGGTTTAAGGACCAGACTAAAAATCATCCCTCTGCCCACTCCAAGACAAATTCATAATTGACTTCCCCCCATTTTCATGTTTATTTTATGTAAAATGTAGATTTACTAAGCATGAGAGGAAGACATAATCACTGTTCCTCTACCACCCCCTACTACTCCCAGCTTTCACATGTAAAATGTGAATTTACTGGGCACTAATCAAAGCCTCACAAGAATGTAACCACTTGCCTCATTGCCTATTCTCCCACTTCCCTTTTTTTCTTTTCTGCTTCCCCTCCTGCTAGCTCTTTTCCCTTTAAATATTGAAGTCCTCAAAAACGCTCTTTGTGAAAGGCACAAACCACAGATGTTCCCGTATTTGTGCTTTTTCTTGGGAAATGTTCTCAACCTTTGCAAAATAAACCTCTAAAACAGTTGAGACCTGCCTGTCATTTTTTGGTTTACAGTGCTTAAAATCCATGATGGAATTTTTAATCAATATTTTAGACTTGGGTGAATCTGACTGTGGAAGTAGTAACAGAGTCTTTTAGAATTTTCTTCTATCAAAATTAATCAGAAAGTCCCTGAGAGAATTTCAGGTACTCCTCTAAGGATCAAACCCTAATTTAAATTAGACTGACTGGTAGATCTGTGCATGTCCAGTGTCTCACACATATAAACTCAATAAAAATATATAGAATGACCACGTGAAGAAATGTTCTTTCAGCTTTTCCTTCAAGACTCAGAAAGAAGATATCTGCAATCCCAGAACGGACTGAGTGAACAAGAACAGATCAGTGACACAAAGACAGCCTTCTTTTTCCTTTTCAGGGTGACTCAAATCGTAGTCCTAATCTGAACAGTCTGAAACACAACTCCGTCTCATATAACTTGATAGTGCATTTGCTAAACTCCCATTTACACACACTGCTTAGATGCTCCAAATGCTGAGTCTGTTCGTCTTCATTCTGTTCCTTTGGGAGATGCCAGCACAAAGTTGTTTTTTCTTTCTTTTTTTAATGGAGATGTAATCGCCATAGCAACTAAAAGATATAAATCATGCCTAATTGAATCATTGTGCTCGAGATAATGGCCAGGGCAGAGACTGAGTTAAAACTGGGGTGAGGGTGAGAGTGGGGAAATGGATAAGAATAAAAATATTTATGTCCCTAGAATGTCTGGGTTTGGATTAAGTCTGTTTCGTAAGGAATACTGTTGGCCTTCAAATGCACGGCCACTTGGGAGAGAAGCAGGTGGGGCAGTAGCTGAGGTGTCTCGGCAGTTGATTCGCAGTGAAAGGCAGGTTACAAGCACAGGGACAGCCAGTCTGCCATGTAGTCCCCTCCCTATCCTGAGAATAAGGACATTTGAGAGAAGCCAATGGTATTGGAGGCCCAGAATCCAACTTAAGCCGCTTAGTTGGTACAACAGTAAACCCTCATAGGGGCTGGGCCCTGCAACCTTTCTAAGCAGGGTAAAGAAAGGTAAGGGGACTTCCATGTCGAAGAGGTAGGCTCCCGCGAGCTGCACCCAAGCTTTTCCTCAGGGCCCAACACGCGTAATATAAATGCCAAGTTACTCAGGGGCGCACACGTGAGAAGGCGGGCGCCCGACACACGCGGTTTAATGCCGAAGTCACGAGGGTGGCGCGCTTGGGGGACACTCCGAAGCCCCTCTCCCTCCTGCCTCTGGAAAGCAGCCCCCTCTCTTTCCAGCTCCTCCGCGGGGCGTGTGGCTGTGCGCCGCTTCCTGCGGACCCCAGGCTGGGCGAGGGGGCCGCGGCAGCCACATGGCGCGCTTGGGGAGATGGCAGCTGCGCTTTGTTTCCAGCAGCGAGAGGTGAGTCACCGGCTCGCACAGCCCCAGGGCTGAGCAAACGCTCCGGCCCAGGCAGCTGAAAAATTCACAGCGGGAGCAGCTACCGAAGCGGCTGCAGCCTCTTCCTCCTCTTCCTCCTCCTCCTCCGCCGCTGCTACCGCCACCGCCTTGGTTGCCGCCTCCGCGCCCTGCCTCCGCCCAGTCCCCTCCTCCTCCACCCGCGAACTTAGTCAGCGGTTCGCGCCGCCGCCAGCCCATTGGCCGGCGGAACGCGCCGCGTCACAATGGAGCCGGTCGGAGGCGGCGAGCCGGGCAGCGCCGGGGCTTCCCGCTGAGCCCGCAGCCGCCGGCAGCCGGGAAAGTGCGGGCGCGGGGCCGCCTGCGCGCCCGGAGCGGCCCGGGAGCACGCCGCAGGGAGCGCGGGCGCCCGGGGCTGGAGTCGCGCAGGTAGGTCGGAGCGTGACACCCCGGTTCCAGGAGACGGAGTCGCGCCGAGGTGGTGGAGGGGTACGGGGGCGCCGCAGGTAGGGCTGGCCGAGCAGGTGCGGTTACCTGTCCACGCCTCACCTGTGAGGTAGCTGCGGGCCGGCTGCGCGGCTGGAGAGACCAGTGGTGGCTTCGCTTTGCTCCCTGCCTCCGGGAGAGAGGGAGCCCTACGCGGAGAGGACCTCTCCTGTGTGCTGGGCTCTTTTGGGGCAGGAGGAGTGGGCAGTCGCGCCGAGGCGGTCTCGTCTCTCTCCCCGGCAATCTCCACGCCGCACCTGAGCGTGAGTCCTCCAGGCCGGGCGGGAAAGGGGTTCCGCTTTCCCAAGCTGGCGTCTCGCTCCAGGTGAGCGCAGTTCCCCGGGGGTGCCCCCATTGGGTCGCTCGCTTTTGCCCCCTGCCCTGGCGCTGTTTGTTGGGAAATAGTTTATGCCCCTGGATACTCGTTATTTGCCTGTAATTTGGTGTTGGGTATTGATTTGTTTGAGAGAGAAGGGACAAGCGATCCCAATTTAAAAAGAAGAGACTCGAGACTTTTCCCTGAGCTTAGCTGAGCAGGTGCTGAGAGGTCAGAAGGGAGGAGGCTCAGTGTTGGCTCATTAATCTGTGTCCTCAACTGACTTCCTAAAGTCCATAGATTGCCTTTAGTCAGATGACATTTATGGAAGACTTTTTTCTTTGTGGTCAAAAAGACTCCCCTCTAAAAGAACAAAACCGACACGTGAACTTCCTTGAATAAATTCACCTTGCCTAACGGCTTAAAACAAACAAAACACCCCACTGGTAAAATATCAGTATGAACATTTTAAATTGTAAATATGTAGTAAAATCAAAAGAGGCCGTTTGTTCAGAGTATATTAAGAAGATATTAAATGACATGATGCTTATTTAAGAGACTTAACGTATCTTTATCAGATGGTTCTGTCCCCTAAACCTAAGTGTAAGAGTAAGCATGGAAAAGAAGTCAAACTGCAGTATAATTTTTTGAGCAATTCCAGTACCCTCTATGTGTACGGGTTACTACTCCTGAGAAGCCCAAATGCCTTTTGTTTTTGTTGTGTGTGTGTTTGAAACAGTCTCTTGTATCGCCCAGACTGGAGTGCAGTGGTGTGATCTTGGCTCACTACAACCTCCACCTCCTGGGTTGAAGTGATTCTCCTGCTTCAGCCTCCCAAGTAGCTGGGACTACAGGTGCCCACCGCCATGCGTGGCTCATTTTTATATTTTTAGTAGAGGCGGGGTTTCACCATGTTGGCCAGGCTGGTCTGGAACTCTTGACCTCAAATTATCCACCCATCTGGGCCTCCCAAATTGCTGGGATTACAGGCATGAACCCACATGCTCTTTGACTTGTGGGTGCTGGGGTGACTCTTTTTCTCCTGGCTTTCCTTGTCAGCAGCTCTACTCAGAGAATATAAAATGACAGCCAACCCCCCAGGTAATTGGGCCTGTGTAATTTTAGAATATAAGCCCTAACATGTCTGATATTTCTGTAGGCTAAAAAGAGGTCTTTTCATTCTGGTAGAGAATGACCGTGACGTTGTCACTGAGTGCACCCTTGGGTCATGGCATTTTCCTTATGCCTAGTATCCCCCAAAATATTTTTAAATCTGCGTGTGGGAATTAAGTTTACTGTTCTTTGAAACGTGTTCTCTTTTTCTTTAATTGGTAAGGTGTTCCAAGATGTTCAGCCTGTTATGAATCTTTCCACATTTTCAAGGATTTCATTTGACTAGTTGAGATTTGCTTTTTTAAACCTCTTCTCTACCACTGTCACCATTCCCCATTGCTATTTCAATTTTCAGAATCCTCAGAGAGAAAACACCAACAGTAATTAAAATGAAAAGGGGCTTAATTAAACTTAAAGGATACTAAGCCCTTCAAGTTTTTTAGACTAATCTATCTGATTATTTTCCTGCAGTGGCCTGAAATTTGTCATTTTTTGTTGTTTTTTGAAGTTGAAGGGGGAAAATATTTTAAAATTTAGGACATCCTTGCTTTAGCCAAGGTTTTTCTTATAAACAAGTGTTTTTGTTTTAGTTTTCAAATTCTTCTAATAGTATCTATTTTATGTTTTCTGGATTTTTTACTATTCAGTCTATTTAATCCAATCCCTGATTTTCATTTGGTATCTCTAAAGTTGAATTACCTAATTTTATTCTTACTTCTCCTTCTCAGCATCATTCTACCATACACTGATATTATTAGAAACGAAGGCATTCTGATTATGTTGTGTTACTACACACTTGGTGGAATGATTTTGCATCCTTTTGCATGGAGCAGTTCCGCATTGCTGTCTGACTCCCAGAGCACTGGGTACATCAGTAAACAGTGTTGACCTCTGACCATTCAAGAGGAATTTAGGAGACCCAATTATGGCGTAGAATTTATTTAACCATTTGTAAAATGCCTTCTAATTTGTGTCATGTCTGTTTTCATGTTGCTGCCTTTTATTGCTATTGCTTACTTTCATTTTATTCCCCATCTGTATTTTGTAAACTTCCTACATGCCTTTATTATTAATTTCTCTGTTGTTTAAAATAATCCCTTTGGCAGACATAATAACCTATTTTTCTGATCATTAAGATTGATCTTTTTTTTTTTGAAACGGAGTTTCGCTCTTGTTACCCAGGCTGGAGTGCAATGGCGCGATATCGGCTCACCGCAACCTCCGCCTCCTGGGTTCAGGCAATTATCCTGCCTCAGCCTCCTGAGTAGCTTGGATTACAGGCATATGCCACCATGCCCAGCTACTTTTTTTGTATTTTTAGTAGAGACGGGGTTTCACCATGTTGACCAGGATGGTCTCGATCTCTTGACCTTGTGATCCACCCGCCTCGGCCTCCCAAAGTGCTGGGATTACAGGCTTGAGCCACCGCGCCCGGCCTAAGATTGATCTTAAATAAAATTAGGCCTAGCTCCAATCAGTAATCTCTCTCCTAAGTTCTTATCAATGTGGTTCATTTAGAAATTGAACAAAGGGTAACAATAAACTCACTGTTCTATGACTGCCTTTTCTTTAGGATTCTACTCAATTGCAACACAATTTACATTTACTCTTTCAACGCTGCTGTGAACCTGAGTAAAGGAAATGAATAAAAATGAGTTGTCAGGGTTTCAACCTTGACCTTTCCTTTTTGCCTTTTTGACCTTTTTTTTGCTGTTTTTGATATGGGTCATATGATTCTGCTTCTTTCTTTCTAGACTATCTGTATTTAAACTTCATCTCTTGCTTTTTTAAATTTCACAGTCCCTTTAAATTATTTCTTCATGTCTGTCATCCTGTGGCCATTTCCAGGGCTCCATTCTGCAATGCCTATTCTTCAACTAACAAGCACAGCATCTTTCACAGAAGCTGCCAGCTGCACAGCTTCTATTTCTTTTGTGTATCCAGCTCCATGTAGGTGACTGAGATCTTCCTCTGCTCATCTCTGATGGAGACCACATTCTTTATTGTCGAGTAGCAGATTTTTTAAATTCTTTTTTTGGTAGCAGATTTAAGAGCATATTCAAACCTTCCTTACTTTCTTCTGTCAAATTCCTTTTCAGTATTTTGAAACACTTTTTTTTTTTTCCAAAATATCTTGCAAATTATAAGCAAGAGTTTTTTCAAGGTTTTACCTAAGAGAACAAACTTTGCAGACTGACAGGCCTGATTCTGAACTCTTTGCCATAACTTTGGATGAGTGGTGGATTGGTTAAAATTAGTTGCCAGTTACAGAGACTGCAAATAACAATGGCTTGGTCAAAATGATGTTTGTTTCTCTTTCACATTAAAAAAAAAAAACTTGCAGAGTGGCAATGTATGGCTGGTATGGTGGTTCTACAGTCTTCTGAGAACTAGGCTGATTCTACCTTTTGGATCATCTATCATGTATAAGATGAGACCCTCAGCTTCATGATCCCAAGATAGAGCTTTAGCCATCACCCCCAAGATCCGGGTAGCAGAAAGAAGGAAAGAAGAAAAACAGAAGGAGGAGAAAGGCAAGAGCCCATAGTCTCTGAAGGAAAATTCCTGGATGCCATCATATAATTCTTGTTATATGTCATTGCCTAGAACTTAGTGACATGACCTCAGGTAGCTGGAATAGAGACTGGGAAATACTATCCTTATTCCAGATAGTCTAATTCCTAGCTAAATTAAAGAAAGAGGGAGGCTCAAATCCTTAGAAAAAAGTGGGGAATTTTGGAGATATCCAAACACCATGGCTATCCTAAACCTCTTTTTTCTTGACTAATACTGTCTTTCTCACAGTATTCTTAGAATTAAAATAAATATGCTACATTAAAGCATCTAATACAGTTTCTGGAGTAAAACAAGCTTTCAGTAAATGCTGTTTATATTCCTCTTTATTTCTTTTCCTTGAATTGTCTAGTTTCCCTGCCACAACATCACTGGCCCCCAAATCCTATTAATATTTTAAACACCTGGGCACTTGCCCCACTTGGTGTTACCTACCTGCTGTGTTGTGCCTTGTCATGGGAGGGAGATGGGGTTTTTGAGGGTCAGGGAGCGAGATGTTATTACTCAATGTCAGCATTTATTCTTAGCTTAAAACCATAGCCAGTGAAATCAACTAGATCTGGACACGAATCCTCCCTCAGTATGCAACCATAGTCTCTCTCATTCTCAGTGTAAACGATAGTAACTGGCTATGAGGATTGAATGAAAAAAAGTACATAATATAAAATATCAAAATACGAATGGTTAATGATACAGAATGGTTAAGCCTTAACCTTCCTCAGCCTTAAATTATTTTTTGGCTGATCCACTCTCAGAAGCTAAACATTACCACTATTTAAAATATGTAACAATATTTTTTTTCAGTAACTATTAAGCATCTAGTTTGTGCCAGGCACTGTGCTATATTTGGACATGCAGTGATGGTGAACAAAAATGCATATGGTCCCCACCCTCATGGAGATCTGGGACCATCCTGAGGAGGACGGGTGAATCAATCACT